AATGCCTTTACTACATCATGCAGTGACCTAAAACCTATTCCCCCTTGCTCAATTGGCATGCATAAGGTATTCCATGAAGCCCAATGCCTACTAGTTCCTCCTACAGTGCTGCTCCCAAAAAACTGAGCAAACAATTTGTGCAACGTATTTATCACATACTTTGGAAGGTTTACAGCTGATAGTAGATGCATAGGCATGCTTTGCAATACATGGGATATGAGAACTGCCCTGCCCCTACTGATAATAACTTGTCCTGCCATGATTGCATTTTGTCCACTACCTTAGTAATTAGGGGCTGATAGAATTCCAACTTTCTCCTTGCATAAAATATCGGACAACCTAGATATATGATAGGGAAATCATTCCTATGAATGCATGTGATCCTTTCTACCTTGCTGACCACTTCCATGTCTGTTAAATGATGCAGGTACACAACTGATTTGGTCTTGTTAACAAGCTGCCCTGATGCATTTTCATATGCCTTCAGCACTTGCATAATCAGCATCAGAGATGTTTCATCTGAGGATGAGAAGATAATCATGTCATCTGCATACACCAAATGATTGATCTTTGGACTCCACTTTGGCATCCCAAATCCACAAAAATACAGGTTAGTGTGTAGTGCATTGAGACTCCTAGATAATGCTTCTGCTGCCAATATAAACAAAGTTGGAGATACAGGATCACCTTGTTTTATTCCCCTTGAGGACTTAAAGAACCCATGAGCTTGACCATTTATTAGAATAGAATACCAGTTGTTTGAAACTAATCCAAAGACAATCCCTATCAACCTTTCTGGGAATCCCATCTTTCTTAGTACCTTGGTTAGGAATAGCCAAGATATTCTATTATAAGCTTTGGTTATATCTAGCTTCAGGATGACATTAGGTCCAGCCTTAGATCTAAGCCTAATGTCAGTCACTATCTCCTGAGTTAAAAGGATGTTTTCTACTATATTCCTTCCCTTAACAAAACCTGCTTGTTCCTCCGAAATCAGACTTGGGAGAAATTTCACTAGCCTTTCATGAACCACCCTTGATATAACCTTATTAGAAAAATTACTGAGGCTTATTGGTCTTAAATCAAAAAAGGTGGTAACTTCTTTTTTCTTTGGTAGCAGAACTAGGTTTGTGTGTGTTACACACTTGGGTAGCTCATGGCCATTGAAAAAAGCCCTCACCATGTCGTACAGGTCATCCCCTATTAAGTCTCAACAAGAATGATAAAATTTTCCTGACATACCATCTGACCCCCAGTACTATCACCCTTAAGTCCAAGTACTGCCATTTTAACCTCCTCTTTTGCTGGTTGCTTAATCAATTCTGCATTTTGCTCAGTGTTAATCAGATTAGGAACATGCTCTACGATATCAAATGATGAAGGAGTAGCTTCTTCTGTGAACTGTTCCTCGTAGAATTTGATAGCCTCTTCTGCAATTTGTTGTTCTTCTTCAATCTAGGTTCCTCCACTGTTTTGAATTCTGTTAAGTTGAAGTCTCTTCCTTCTACCTCTCACTTGTGCATGGAAGAACTTAGTGTTCCTATCCCCTTCCTTGAACCAAGTCATGCCTGTCTTTTGTTGCCAATATTTCTCCTCTAGTGCAAGACATTTGATCAATTCTGCCTGAACCTTATGTAGTCTTTCCCTATTCATTCCTGTAGGATTTGCTTCAAATTCTACTTCATGAACCATCACTACCTCTTCCATACTTGCTATCTTTTGGAAAATATCTCCAAATGTAGCCTTACTCCACAATGAAAGGGCCTTCTTTAATTTTTTTAACTTGTGATTAAAAAGAATAAAAGGATTTGCACTGAAATCAGCAGACCAATTCTCTTTCACCACATCTTTAAAAGTTGCATGTTCCACCCAAAAATTCAAGAAATTAAAATGTTTTTTTATAGGTGGAGTCTCAATATCACACTTCAAAAATATTGGACTATGATCAGAGCCAGTCTTTGACAAATGTTGCACCTCTATTCCTGGAAATTTTTGTTGGAACTCAACATTGGCCAAACATCTATCTAGTCTTTTGAATATACAGTCTTCCTCTACTCTCCCATTCCACCATGTGAATATGCTACCTTTAAATCCAAGGTCGAATAGGTTGCAAGTGTTGATGCAGTGTCGAAAATCATCAATTTCATTCAATGACACAAGTAACCCACCAAATTTTTCTTCTTCGTCCCATATTACATTGAAATCACCTCTTACAAGCCATGGTGCATCCATATNATCGTATTCCCTTTGTGCCTCCCATAGCCTGCCTCCACATTCTTGCACTCTTTCTTTAAATGTAAACGATTTTGACCCTTCTACTTTAGAATTTGGCTTTTTATTAAGTACCTTGTTCACTAATGTATCTTGTGATGGGATTTCCTTGCATGGTTTATTGATCTTCACTATTCCTTCTCCTGTTTTATCCTTGAAGCTTCTTTCTACCCATTGTGCGGTATCGTTTTTTGCTTTTGATGCCTCCTTTCCATTGACTAGACCATTAGTCGAACTAATCCCCGATGAGTTAAGATGAAAAGCTTGTGCTGCTGGATTTAACTTTCCCTCATTATTGACCATATTTTTTGGTTTTTGCTTTGTAGATGCTTGGTTATGAAGTGCTGAACTGTTTGTTGCTACATTAGCTGCCACCATTGCCAATTGATTAACAGGTTCTTCCTCTTCATCCATCCCTTGTAATATTGCAAACTTGTTAGCTACTTGAACATGATCATTATCTTCATTGTCTACTGCCACCAAATCCTTACCACTGTTGCTATGTGCTTCTACTTGTCTCTCTACAGTGCTTGTACCCTCCTTGTTCTTATTGTTTTCCAACTGCTTAGCTGGTGCCATCTCCATTCCATTATTAGTGAGACTAGTATTTGGATTTACTACATTTCTAACTCTGTTGTCCTTCACTTCCTTCCATTGCTCTTTTGCTGTAACATTCACATTACCCACGACCTTTCCACTAGATAACATCATTATAGGGTGTGAGTTCCCTATGTCCTGTTTCTTAGCTGTATCTGCTTGGTTATCATTCTCCTTCTCCACATATAGTTCAGGGTGTATCCTCCAGCATTCAAATTGATCATGCCCTTGAAGTTTACAATGTTTGCAGTATTTAGGCAGCATGTCATATTGAATTCTCACCCATTCAGTTCTTGTTGTTCCTTTAGCTTTGTTGACTATGTCCATCCTCACCTTTTTAGGCAGATCTGCAAGTAAGTCCACTAGTACCTTCACCCTAGCACAACTAGGTCTAGTTTTATTAATTGTTGCCATGTCTAGATGCATAGGTTTACCTACTGCTGAAGCTAGAGAAAATAGACATTCCTTTACAAAAAAGGTTGGCAATAGACCTGGGAATGAAATCCAAGTCATTGCCTTAGGTGTTTCTTCATCTGCTCTAAACTTTGAGTCATAAATCAACGGCCTAAGCTGATATTGATAGCCATCCCTGTCCTTTATGTAATGAGTTTTTGATGAGAAATGAAGATAGTCCTACTTAACGTCATTCTAATTAAAATATGTCTATCCCTTAGAAAACCAATGTTACATTCACCTTTAATTCCGCATTGAATTGGTATTAACTTACGCAGTTGTTGAATTTCTGGGCTTCCATAAGAACATTTGCCAACTATTGCATATTGTAATCCTTCGATGATATCCATCCTTTCTACTTCTGCTTCTGTGAACTGAATAACATGTTCTCCATTCAATATTGTAGGTGGACGAATACGAATTGGCTCAATTTCCTGTTGCTCCTGCATTGAAGCATTTAAAGTGCAAGGTTTCAGAAATTTGGAGTAATCCATCGGTTGTTTGTTGTTATTTGTGTTCCTTGATGTTTGTGCAAAGTTTGTAGGAGGTTGTTTAGGCAGCGCAGCCTCCAAATGAGGCTGGCCACCTGCCTGTGTGTCCATTACAATTGTAATTCTTTAGCACTTTATTTGCATGACACAGTGCAACAGCTTTGCAAGAAAACGATGCTACTGTAATTTGAACTAACTTGACTTTACTTACTGTATGGCTGTGAATCCAATTTCACAGTCCGAAATGAAGCTTAGAAATCAAATTGATCTTAGAAGAGAAGAGAATACTTTCACGTTATCAAAACAAGCTATTGTGCTCAACAGTAGTGCTGGAATTAGCTGAATTGCTAAAATTGAATGAAGAACATTGTCTGCTACAGTAACTCGTAAAAATGAAATTAAGATCTACAAAAATAGACTATAGATCTGAAGTTGAAACCAATATGGTATTATTCGTAAGAAAATTATGTATCTTTTGACACCAAGTTTGGTTAGTTCCACCACCGGATCCCGGAGTTATGACCGGAAAATGATGACGAAATTACTATTCCTTCTCTTCCCAGAGAGAAGGCATCTGGATATCGTTGACATTTTAGAGAGTCCGTATTAAGTATTTCTGATTACCTGTTTTTTATGGGTTCCATATTATTTAGTAACTTCAGCAGAAAAGTGGAAAGAATACCATTAAGACTACTTTAGTACAGAGATTTAATTTACTTTGTATAAACCAATTACAATAAAAACTTAACTTCCAGATGGTACAAAACATATTCTTAGTTACATAAACCAACTTATTCATTATGCAACATTCCTAATGCTTGATCTGAGTTAACATACAAAAGTACTGGTATTACTATTATGCAACTTCAGTCTTAGCTTCTTGGTTGCTATGCTTTCTTCAGATTATTTACATTCAGTTATGCCGGACAATGCTAAGTGGGACGATGATACACATATTATATTTATTGAGTTGTGTGAGCAAGAGGTTAGAAAAGGAAATAGACCAAACACTTACTTAAATAAAGATGGGTGGAAAAGTCTTGTTGACGAGTTCTGTAAGAAGACGGGAAAAGACTATGATAAAAAATGAAAAATCATTAGGATTACATAAAAGGAGAATGGACACTTTTTAAGCAGTTGATGAGAGGGGAGACGGGGTTAGGATGGGATGCCACGAAAAATACAATTATGGCAAATGATGATTGGTGGGAGCGAAAAACTAAGGTATATCTCTCACATTATCATATGTGTAATTTTTATTTTTGTCATTGTTAATTTTATCAGTTTGATTAAAGTAGTTTTTATTTTCTCTTTTTACAGGAGAATGCAAAATATAAGAAATTTAGGAACAAAGATCTTTCACTCATATGGTTTCGCTACGATGCACTGTTTGCTTATGTTGTTGCCACAGGAGAAAGAGCACGTGCAGCAAATCAAGAACAATCATCGGGCATTGGACTTAATCTTGATGAAGAAGGAATAAATGTCATTGATGATTGTGACAAAGAACACTTTACTCATCTTAATGATGAAATGAGCGATGAAAGTGATGATCTACAGAATATAAATTCTGTTATGTTTCCAGAGTCATCACTAAAAAGACAAAAATCAACTGATGGTGTTAGCACTAGTAGTCAAGTAAGAAAAGAACAGCTGCAACGTTAATAAAAGAGGATATACACTCTCTCATAGAGTTTATGTCTAGTAAAAGCACTGCTACATCTCCTACAGTTGATGAGACATCCATCGAGAAGTGTATTGTCACGTTGGAACAAATTCCTGATATTCTAGGTGGGAGTGAAATTTACAGTTTTACTATGAATATGTTCCGGAAAAAAAATCGACAGATATTTTTGGGGATGCCTACTAATGAAGCTCGCAAGAATTGGTTGGAGTTTAACTATCAGTTATACCTCAAGAAAAATGAATAGTGTATCGTTGTGGTTGAGTATTTTTATTATTCTGCGTTTGAATATTATGATTGTATATGTAAACGTTATTATGGTTTTATGTGTAAACTTTATATTTCTTCTTGTTTAGACATTGGGATTGTATCACTAAACTTTTATTAAATTAAAGCTTCTGTTTGTGGTAAACTTTATGTTTGAAAGCCTTGGTTCTATTATTAAGCATATATTGTTAAACTTCTGTTTGGTTCTGTTTGTGGTAAGCTTATATTGCTTCTATTGTTAAGCTTTGGTAAACTTTATGTTTGAAGGCCTCTTCAGTACATAAAGAAGAACTGAAGAAAGCATATGTTTAAAAGCCTCTTCAGTACTATTTAGAAAGCATATTGCTAAACTTTATGTTTTTATTTTCAGTAGAATGGAGAGTTCAGACTCTAGTGACATAGTAGATCTTTATCCAAGTTATTCGTCAGACGATGAAGATGAAGAAGAACTGGATGAGATACAGAGGGAGCAAGATGAGAAGGAATGGACATGTCTTTCTATCACATTGACACTCAAAGAGACATCGTACTTGCTACTATGACTATTCATAACTATATTAGAAAATGCAATATGGATGATGCATTCCGAGCAGCTGAGAATGAGAGATATGTTTCATCTGTTGATCCTGATCTTGGTACATCTTTGAGAGCTAATAACAATATAAATGCGGAAAATGTGGAAGAGCAAAGTGATCTTGTTTGGATGGGTCTTCGCGATTTGATTGCTAATGAAATTTGTGAAGCTTGATACTTGTAGTTGTATGAATCTTTTAAAACACTAATATTTATTATTTTACATTCCAATTGAGAAATGTTATTTTGTTTCGTTCTCTTGAAATATGCATATAATGACCTAACTTTTTATATAATTTGAGAAATCAGTGTATAACTTCAATTTGATTAGTTTGATGTATAAAATGGTTTTTTAAGTTTGTGATTGACTTCTGTCGCAGCACTTTTTGGGACAAGGGAAGAAAAATAAGTAATTGATCAATTAGATTCTCATACAGATATACACAAAGCAAAAACTATTCTTTTTATTTTCTTGGCAAACAAATAAAAAAAACCTATCTTAAGTAATTATTTAAATTAAAATATAAATTATTTTTTGTTTGCATTGCTTATGAATCAAATATATTGTAGTAATCAGCTCCTTTTATAATGTTAACAGCTTTAAGGATATTTTTGTCTTTTTAACAGAAAAAAGTTCTTACCAACACTTGTTTACCAAACACTTCAACAGCTTTTTTTAAGCTTCAGCACTTTTATCCAAACATGTAACTGCTTATTTATAAAATAAGTTTTAGCACTTAAAAGCTGCTTTTAAGCACATGTGCTTAAAAGCTGCTTTTAAGCACATGTGCTTAAAAGTTACTTTTTTCCAGCTAATCCAAACGGGCTCTTATTGTTGAATATGTAGTATAATGCCACATCTCATATTTATGCATGTTATTTTATTGAAAAATACCTTATATAGTTCTGTCTTACTAGGAGTAAAGAAATATTTGGATATGAAAAAAAATCGAAAAAACCCGAAAACCCGAGATTAGAAAAACTGACTATTTTGGTTTGGTTTGGTCTGGTCTTTAAATTTAATAATCTGACACAATTGGTTTGGTTTGGTAATTGAAAAATTCGAACCAGCCCGACTTATTTACACTCTAGTAATATGTCACTATATATATCTTATTTCTTAAGTAACTAATGTTATCTTTTACAGACGGTTATTAGTAGGTATATTTTAAGTGATTTGATGGTATAATAATTTTTTCAAAATTAATTAATATAATATAAGATAAATCCTTTAGTGCAATTCAATTTGCTGATCTAGGTTCAGGAATCATTGACCTAACATTTCTTCTTCTGGACATAGCAGCAATTATTCTGGTGAAGGTCACAAATCTTAAGAGAATCCAAGATCTTTCCCATACCAAGATCAAGTATTTTTTATTAAGATTCTTTATATTGTGAAGGTATATACGTTAATATCCTAGATACTTAGGCCGGTGTTTACCTCATAGTTTATTTCTGTGGCTACAAAGACGAGAATTTTAAGCTTATGGATTCAGAATTCTAATCAATTTAAGTAATGGATTTCTAAATTAGTAATTTACATATATTGAACGATTTTTTTAAAACAAATATAAAGTTGAAATTAAAGTTAACAGGTTTGATCGAACACGTTCCTGGCACTCTAACTCCGCCCTCGTGTGATTATGTCCAAATGATCTCCTTTTACTAAAAACCAATGAGTAATAAAAGCGTATTATTCCTGGTTTTTCTATCCTTTTTCACTGCAATTTTCTTTCCTCTGGATTTTGTAATTCTCTGTTTGGTATCTCAGCTTAATGATGGGTGGCTCAAAATTCTTGTCACAGATTCACAGCCACGATTTCCTGGTTGTCTTGACACGGAAAAAAGAAGAGCATTTTTTGAATTATGTTGTAATTGCTTGTCTTCCTCCCAAAAAACAGATTAGTTTAACATTATTGTGCAAAAACGCCCAGCTTCCCTTTTTATATTATTTATTCTCTTTTTCCCATGACTTGATAAAACTTTTTAATTCACGTGCTAAAACAGTTTGAAACTTACACTTCAGCCATTTCAATTTATAAGTCTTACTTTATTTTTAAATTAGTCTCAAATAGAATAGTACTATTTTTTATACATAATAAATTTTTAATTTCAATTTTTTTCATTTTACATTTAATAGTATTATAGGAATGATATGGCATAATCAAAAATCACAAGATCTAAAAGGTATTTAATTCGATATGTTATACACACTTTTAGCTCAGATAATAAGATTCAAAAATTTCTTTTTATAATCTTAAATTTTATGTCAAATCAAACTAAAACACAACAAATAAAATCTAAGGAGTAGTAACTAGTGAAGAGAGTGGGTGCTCAAATCACTTGTGATCTCTTTTTTCCAAAGTGTAGACTGCCTTTTGCTACATTTCCCTACAAGTATCCAACTTCTAACATCAAGATGTGGTACCAAATTGGGCCAAACACCATATTAGACTTCACGCGTACACCTATCCAATTCTCGACCAAGAGTGTGTCATGTCCAGACAATCAAACGGGACAAAAGGATTTGACCTGTAGTCGTCCATGATAAACTTTTTGGAGTTAGAGAGAAAAAGACACTATTCTGACCAAGTCCAACAATTTTTTTTGGTTTTCCGCTCAATANGAGCGTTCTCTACCAAGAATTTTTCTTTACCTAATGCTCGAACTCGAGACCTGTAATTAAGGGAAGAGCAGCCACATCCGCTCCACCACATCCTTTGGTGGTAGTCCAACAAAGTTTTCATTCTAGTATGACTCAGTCCATTGTAATCAGTTGTATGAACAGCACAACTTTGGATAATAATGGACATTATTTGTATTGAGTGTGCATAAACAAAGACCACATGAAAAGTAGAATAGAAAAATATTGAGTTAATATCCTAAAATCTTTTTAAACTGTCATATATTGTTAGTTTCCTACTTAAATTATTCGATCTCTCTAAAATCCCCTAAACTACATTGTTCTTCACAATAAAAGTCAATCATTGCATTCTTAGAGGTGCTTCTAGTATATGTTCCTAATTATCTAAAAAATGTGTCATGTGGTACTACACGTGGCTATTTAACTTAGCCTAAAAATCCCCTAAAACTATTTTTTTTATCAGTTATCTACTTAAACTATTCGGTGTCCGCAAAACGCCCATGAACTATATACCCTATATATTAAAATCTCATGTTGAATTCTTAGAGGTGCGTATGTCTAACTATATTAACTTATGGTTTGTATTAAGTTTTTTTTTGTAGTTACTCATGATGTATTACTCTCGAAGATTGAAAATGTGTTTATTTTAGGCTTAATTATGGATGTGCCTTATGCTAGACTCTAATTGAATAAGTCATCATTTACATTCACTTTCCAGCACAATAAAGAAAATAAGTGAAGGCACATAGTGTTGCATTCCTGAAAATCCATCTTATATTACATAAGCAATATTACACAAAATCAAAATTTTGTAAATAAAAAACCAATCAGTCAGCAACTACATTTTCTAGTTTTAGATTATACAAACAAGGTTCAAGAGATTCAACTTTATTCTCTACCAGGTGTTGGGTTTAATAAGAAGAATAAAATGGGTATTCTTTCAACATTATGTGTAAGACATGAAAAAAGACTAAAGTTAAAAAAAAAAAAAAAGAATAACTCATTTAAGAGGAAATGAGAGAAGGAGAAAAGTTTTCATGAGGGAACCCATGTGGAGAACCGAAGGAAAAAGGTGAAACAATAAAGAAGAAGGAGGTAAAAAAATAAAGAAGAATGGTAAAAAATGAGAAAGAAAGGTGGATATAAAGGAAATAAGGCGAATACTTGAAAAATAAATAAATTTGAAAGAGGGTTAGACTAATTAGCTAGTATATATTCTGTCAGGTGACCCATTTTGATGAGGGTTTTCATCCATCACGTGTCTCCCAAGCGAGTTGTGTCATACCCAAAAATCCAAGTAGTTGTGATGGCACCTAACACAACCCGCTAGGTAATCCAATTATCAACTATCCAATTCCAATGAAATTCAATAAGACAATTAAGTAAAAGAAAAATATTTGAATCTTATACATTTTCCAAGGAATGGTAGTACAAATTATGAGCCTCTAAGATGTGAATATACAAAGCTGGTACGAAATAAATATATCATCTGTTTGA